TAACTCTGAAGTAGTGGAGTAGTAAGTGGAATCGATTTTGAAGTTAACCTTATTAACAGATGAAACTAAAGAATGACATCTTAACAATTTATTAAAGTTTATCCTTTTTGTTTCGGCTGTGAGGAAATGGACTTAATGATTCAATTGTATGTATCTACGTTAGATTGCACAAAGTACACCGAGGAATCCTGCAACCGTGTAAACTTTCAATGATGTTATCTTTTGCTAAAATAAAATGATGATGTAATTATTATTTTGAAATACCTATTCTGGAATTGAAAATAATTAGTGTTTAACTAGATATCACGTGTTGCAGTTTATCTTGTTTCAGGGATTCAACATGATTGGCTCTTTACTCACCAGAGTATTGGTGTACGTACCATTATAAGAATTTAATTATCATGTAGGTTGTGCTTAAAGGTTGCAGAAACTGTATATTTTTAATTAACTGTGTTTGTTTTAATTAAAGGTTAATATTTGGCTATGCTTATCCTGCTTATGAGTGCTTCAAAAGTGTGGAAATGAATAAGCCAGATATTCAACAACTTAGGTTTTGGTGCCAATACTGGTAATTTGATATTGTGTTTATTGAAACCTCTAAGTCTACTTCTACCTGGAGTCCTTGACTCAAATATCAGCACTAACCCCTACCTGCCAAATATGCAGGATCATAGTTGCAATAATGGCAGTTTCTGAAAAGATTGGTGATGCCTTTATTTCCTGGTAATCATGCTTAATGTACTCTTATATCACTATAACTTTAGTTTTCATTTGCACATTCTTTTTCAATATTTTGAGTGTTCTCCTTTTGAAGGATTCCAATGTACAGTGAAGCGAAGTTGGCATTCTACATATATTTGTGGTTTCCAAAAACTAAGGTTAAAGGCTCTCTGTATGATCTAGTTCTCATGCGTGGGTGTTATACTTTATTTCTGTTGCTCTAATTATGTCTGTGTATCATTTAGGGAACAACATATGTATATGATTCGTTCTTCAGACCATTGGTTCTAAAGCACGAGAATGAAATTGACGATAACCTGTTGAAGTTGAGGGTTAAAGCTGGAGATATTGCAGTTACATATTGGCAAAAGGCTGCCAGTTATAGTCAGACCAGAATGTTTGAAATCCTGCAATTTATTGCTTCACAATCAATTTCATTCGGATCATCTCCACCCACTCAGGTATGTACTTGGACATTGAATGAAATAACTAATGATATTCTTGCTATATAATAATTTCTATTATACCCAAAATCTTTTGAGAACAAGGCTTGGGTGTTGTTGTAAAATAATTTCTATTATACGTGCATCATCAATGAAAATATATGTTCACAATTCCATCCTAATGGCATTAGGGTTGGGTGTTCGGCTCGGTCTGACCAAACCGAATTGAATTGACCCCAACCAAAATTGTACCGTATGAAGTCTGGTTTAAATTTGATAATGGTTTTCCTTGACTTTATTAATGTTAGCCAAATAAAAAAGCATAATTGAAACCCAATATAAAAAAGACCCAAACCAAAATGTAGCAAGTCTATACTTGGTTTTAATATGACAGTTCTCTGTTCAACATTTCTTAAACCAAACCTAACTTCCCAAAACAGCAAACCAAAACAAATATATTTCCCCTAGTAGTCTGACATTAATTTATGTCTAACCTTATGATTTTTTTTACAGCCACAAAGGCAAGCCAGCACTAGTACCCCACAAAATCAGACACCGATAGAAGTAACAACAAAGCCAGTGAATGCGAATGAAGAGAAGCCACCTCCTGTTTCCAATGAAATTTCAATTGAGCAAGAAAAAGATACAGTAGAGGGGGCCACGACTATACAACCACAACCGGCTGCTCCACCTGCTTCTTCGAATGCCAAAAAAGCAACCCTAAAGGAACTCATCCTTACAGAGACATCAGAGAAGGCTCCAAGCTCCAGTGAACCCCAAGTGGTTGCTGTAAAGACCACTGCAATGGAAACACTCATTGAAGAAGTTGAAAAAGGCACTCGTCGTGCTAGGTCCCGCAAAAACCGTACTGCTTTGGCCCAATGATCATACCCAAGCTTTTAAATCTACATGCTAAAAAGATGTACATTTTTTGTTTTTATATGTATACTTTTAGTACAGTTTTATTCAAGAACTTAATCAAGAAACTGAACACATAGATCTGCAGGATAATTACATCCTCAATTTCTTGCTTGTACATTTATATAGTGCATGTTGCGTTATATAATAATGCAGTCAGGATTTGGGAATTTGACCACGTTGTCACTTTAGTTGGAAAATGTGAAAATCAACGACCACAAGATGTACTCTTATTAACTTCATACTACTTAGCTCTCTTCCTGGAGAAAAAACCTTTAATGGCCATAAGGGGAATAAGTGGCTTCTTCTTCTTCGTCTTGAGGGAAGGGTGTCTTTCCAGCACAATGTCGTCAGCTGATGGTGGGGCCATGACATGATGACGGTGGGAAAAAGATACATATCTTTTATTCTGAAACTCCAGTATGGTGTCATGACTTGTGATTTCTACTGGTCTAAGCTTTGTGGTGTCCTCTATGAATTTAAGGTCCTCATCAACTTCAGATTCCTGTTGTGGCTCTTTGGTATCCTGGCAGTGTTTGAGGTTTTGGAGCTCTGTCTTTGCCCTTTGCAGTTCTTCCTGCAAAGATGAGAGGCAGGTAACCATTACCAAGCTTTCTTCCCTTGCTTTTCGCAGGCTTTGCTTCGTCTCCTCGAGCTCTGCCTCTATGCTGCTGATGAGTGTCTGTGGGTCCCTGTTGTACCCGTCTTGCTTCTGCTGCATTTACATAGATATGCTGAGTATAACTAATTTATTCAACAATATTTCACTATTTTTTAAAACAAAAGCAGTAAGACACGCTTAAATAATACAAACCGAATATTGAATATAAAACTTTTAGGATAACAATGTTACCAATGGTCCAATTATCAGTAACATTTAAATAGTACCCCCTCCATTCCATTTAATCTATCTTACTTTACTTTTTAGGTTGTCCCAAACTAGGTGTCCATTTCCCTTTTAAAAGAGAAATATGTGCTCTATAGCGTTTCATTTTGTTAACTCAAATCTCAACTTTTTTATAAGAAACATATGTCATACTTGTGTCAAATCAAAGTATGACACATACAATGGGGTGGAGGGTAGTATTTTTCTATGTAGTATTACTAATCTACCACAAGTTACATGATGAAAAAATCTACCACAAATTACCACAAGCTTATTAAGCCCAATCTTTAGATATTATGATATGGAGTGGTACTTAAGAAAGTCGGTTCATATGGCCATAATAATAAGTTGAAAAGCAATTTAAATACACATACACATAAAATTCGATTCAAATGAGAAAAATATTTTATGAGAGAAATGAGAATGAATCTGGAGCGTAATATTGCATTATGTGAATTGAAAGTGACTTAGGTAAAACTAAAATGTGCAATTATGTCAAATTGAATGTGCAACACAAAGGATATTACACGGTGACATTATGTGAAATTGAGTTACGCATTAGGTGGAAATTAAATGTACATCAAGTGAATTGGCCGAATTATACATATCAGTCTAGAAGAAGAAACAATACATAGGCATACCCGCCGGAGGTGAAGGTTGGTATTAGCATTGACTTGCCGAGCCAGAAGCGTGTCCCCGAAGAGCAACACGGCTTCTTTGACGGACCGGAATGGGGCGCTTGTGTCGATCTCCGACTCTGTTCTCACCATTCTCAATCCGCCCCCGCCCGCTTCATACACAGAGTATTATTCAAAATAACGTGAAATGAAGAAATGAGTGATAATCCAAACTCATAATATATACAGCAAGGAAGGCAGAAAGTTAGTTGGAGTACGTAGTGGCTTCCTTCAGTTGGGTAAGAATTAATGGTGGTGGCCAGGAAGCTTGGCCAAAAGCAGAGAAGAGACTAGAGAGCAAAAAGGGGCCGGCTTGGAAGGAGGGAAGAATTGAATTCGTTTCTTGGCTTCCACTTCACTATTTTGTTCTGCTCTACAACATGCATGCGAGTATACTCCATCAGTTTTGCTCACCCATCTGTTTTTATTGTAGGTGAAGCTGTTAGAGGCTCGTTTGGAACGCGCAGTGTTAACGAAGTATATGTTGACACTTTACCGGTCAGCACAACCAATTTGTGCTTAACTCACTTAAGTGCTTGATTACTTTGACCAGCCATGTGTTTGGTCAAATTCGCCTTAAGCTCCATATCCTATCTAAAGTTCCAAATCCCTTCGGTGGGCTCAACATGACTCAAGCATTGAGTTCTACCAAAATAGATGGAGTATATTAGGTAGTATTTTGTATTAGTATGATTTACAAATTCCAAAACTATGTAACAAGTTCTACTAAATCACATAACCAGAAAAAAGTTCTACCAAATCACAAAATTGAAAATACCTAAACAAATTAGGTTCTTCCTCTGTCATTTATTACTGTCATTTTTCTTTTTCGATTGTCCCAAAAAAATTCACCACTTTACTTTTTAATCAATTAATATGTGATTTTTATTTTTATGTACTCCCATATAAATTCCAATCATAGGTTTTGCTCCATGCCTCTATGGAACTATGTGTATACATATGGTGTATGCAACCCAAGTTTCGACCTAATACTCTAGCTCGAATCGGTCTAAAATAATTATGTTATCAAGATTTATGAAGTTTTTTTGAAAGAAGATTTATGAAGTTATAACTTTTAGGGAAAGCTGTCAAAATAGTACGTAATATGAAGTTAACTTAAGTTAACCTAATTTTTATTAAAAGTTAGATTTACTTTAATCCACTTGGTTTACTTAAGTTTACTTTATCCAAACACAGTATTAGTTGACTTTCAATATACTACGACACAACCCTCAAATATTGCTAGAGTATAACTTATAAATTTGACAGTATATAATATTTTCAATATGTATTTGATAGTTTTCTCTAACTTATAAATTTATAATGATACGAATATTTATGAGAAAACGGAAATGAGGAATTTTTATGGTATCTTGTTTGAACCCAGACTAAAAATGAGTTACTTTCCTTCTGTGCAAACTTTGCCCGTGGAAGCAATGGATACTCCGTATGAATTTAGAAGTGTTGCTCAATGTAAAATTGTACTCCGTAAATCATACTCCAGGAAACAAAAAAAAGTAACCGCTCTGATTGTTGGAGTAATTTCTATCACAGAATAGAGAGAGACAAAGAAAGTTGGCATTCAAGGTTCAAGATTGCTACTATTCTTACCTCACTGTGTTTCGACTCCATTAGCTGTGAGTGACTGTGAGTTGACTGACATTACACAAAATGTCGACCGCCGCAGCCGTCAGCGTCGTCGGGTCTTTTGACGTCCGGCGACCGTCACCCAGTATGAGGTCACGGCGGCAGGTGGTAATGGCCGTCCGATCTGGTGTCAGCCTTGAAGAAGCTTCGATCTTGACTAAGCTGGAGCAGGAATGCGCCACCCCTCTGCCTGTCTTGCGCCGTGTGGCAAATTCCATGGCGGCTGATGTCCGGGCTGGCCTCGCTGTGGATGGCGGCAGCGATCTGAAGATGATTCTCAGCTATGTCGATACATTGCCAACTGGGTAAGCGATATTATGCCCTGCTTTTATTTACAATGCATAAAGATCACTTTTTTAGTTTACTTTTTTACTGCAATCCCCAAGTTTTATTCTTTAATACAACAATTTAAAATGAAATGAGAGTGTGGTAATGAGAAATTAATTGATATTCAATCCTCTATAGTACTTAATTGTTGTATAATGGAATGATGAAGGAATGAGAAGGGGATGTTTTATGCATTAGACCTTGGTGGGACTAATTTCCGAGTGCTAAGAGTACAATTGGGAGGGAAGGAGGAGCGTGTAGTTGACACTGAATTTGAACAATTGTCTATACCACAAGAGCTGATGTTTGGTACCTCTGAGGTTGGTTTGCTTTGTAGTAATTTTTATAAATTTGAATATCAGGCTCGGATTAAGCGATTGAATATGTGGTGGTTTAATCTGTCCAGGAACTTTTCGATTTCATTGCCTCTGCATTGGCAAAGTTTGCAAAAAAGGAGGGTGGAAAATTTCATATGCCGCCTGGAAGGACGAGGGAAATAGGATTTACTTTCTCTTTCCCCGTGAAGCAGACTTCTATTAACTCCGGCATTCTAATCAAATGGACCAAGGGGTTTGCTGTCTCTGGAACTGTGAGTATTCCCTAGATTCTCATTGTTTTTGTTGACTGCCTTATCCAAACTATTTACCCTTAGTCTCTTAGAGCTGGAGTGGTAAGGATGAAGTTTGCTGAAATTTCTAAAAAACCTGAATAGAGGATGATGTTTGAAATGGTATACGATCACATATCATATTAGTTCTCAATATTTGTAAAAATAAAATCTCAAGTATGTATATCAAGATACAAAATAAGCCCTCCCAAACCTCCCTCTCCATCCAAACAAGTCCTTGAAGTTTCATACGTAAGCATATTGTCTTAACATTGGTAATTTGGCATTGCCTCCAATAGGTGGGGAAAGATGTGGTTGCTTGTCTGAATGAAGCCATGGAGAGACTAGGAGTAGACATGCAAGTATCTGCTTTGGTATGTAATCTTCCTTATTATATAATTAATGTATTATAATCACTGTTTTCATCCACTTTATCTATAATTAGAGTTGATATATTTAGGTTAATGACACAGTGGGAACGCTAGCTGGAGCAAGGTATTGGGATGATGATGTGTTAGTTGCTGTCATTCTTGGAACCGGAACAAATGCTTGCTATGTTGAGCGCACCGATTCCATTCCTAAACTCTCACTTCAGCAGTCTACTTCTTCATCATCTGGATTAATGGTTGATAAAGTCTTCAAGTGGATAATATTTTATTTTAATTTTTACGAAGTTGTATTTGACCATGTAATCATTTTTTCGTCCATCACTTGTATTATAGTAACCTTATAAGAAAAAACATTTTTTTAATAAGAAAAAATATAATACTCCTTTCAGAGTTACAGTAAGCTGATTAGCGCTACCAAACAGGACCTAAGTCTTGAACTTCTGATACAAATAATCCTTTGACATGGTTATGATTTCAGATTGTAAATACCGAGTGGGGAGCATTTTCAAATGGACTTCCCTTGACAGAATTTGATCGAGAAATGGATGCTGACAGCATTAATCCTGGTGAGCAGGCAAGTTTTTCTTAATAATGTCCACACAACACAAATCACCCTCCGCTTATGTAATTTAATGGTTATGAGACTTCATGATTTTGCATGGTATATGAAACAGATATTTGAGAAGACAATTTCGGGTATGTATCTTGGAGAGATTGTCCGACGAGTCATTCTTAAAATGGCCAAAAGTGGCTTGTTTGGAAACTCAGTTCCAGAAAAGTTATTCACCCCATTTGTTCTCGGGTAAAATTCTCTTCATCAACAGACATTAAGTTGTGACTTGTTATACAATCAGGTTGGAGTTCATTGAGTTGTTGATAGAGTAAAGAAGCAGGATGGTCTTAAATCAGAATAGCAAATCTTTATTCTTTATTCCGGAAATGAAAAAAAAGAGATAACAACGACAAGGTATACCTAGAAGGCAACCTCCAACAGAGATAAACCTCTGCCCAACTATTCTAAATTATTGTAATGACTCCCGATATCGTCCTCTCCTAGTCTAGGACCTTATTTATAATAGATTATTCTGCATAAATAAAGTAAGTGTATCAATATAGATGTCCCATCCCTTAAATTGTGCTACTGTAGCCATTAATGAGTAATCCCACTAATTGTGCTCTTCTTTATATTATGTCTCCTTATTGATTTGCTCTTGATTTGTTTCTATAAACCTTTGATTGCCTTTCCTTTTCCTAGAATATACTATCCAGCCACTTGCACGTGTATCATTGCCGCCGTCCAAGGAAACAGTCTTGTCCACAAGGCTGGTGTGGGGAAACTGACCGCGAAAATCTGCAGCATCCATCCAGGTGGCTTCATCGGTAGGTCTGCCTTCCCAGTGAACCAAAACCTGATGGACCCCATTCATTTTTCTTGAAGCTATAATATCATGAGGAACGAACACTGGGTCTTCAACCACCAAATCCTCTGGAAGTTCTGCTAGAGCGGGATGTTCTCCAGTAACTCGTTTTAGTTGGGAGACATGAAAAACGGGATGGACCTTAGCTGATGGGGGAAGTGCAAGCTTGTAAGCAACTGCACTTAATTTACGGATGATGACAAAAGGACCAAAATATCTTGGGGCCAGTTTTTGATTGATCCTTTTCTGCACTGTGGTCTGCCTGTGCGGTCGGAGCTTAAGGAGGACCTTGTCACCCACCTGAAATTCCAAGTCGCGACGTTTGGCATTGGCAACTTTAACCATTCGCTGTTGAGCCCGCTCCAAATTGTAACGGAGCTGCCGTAGAATCTCATTGCGATCCTCATGATCATCTGCCACTGCAGCCACTTTAAATTCCCCCGGTAAATATTGAGCTAGTGTTGGTGCTGCTCGCCCATACAGTGTCTGAAAAGGGGTATACCCCGCGGCTCCCTGGAAGGAAGTGTTGTACCAGTATTCTGCCCAATGCAAGTAGTGACCCCATTGCTTTGGCTGCTCGGAAGTAAAACACCTTAAATACTGTTCGAGACACCTATTAACTACCTCCGACTGCCCATCGGTTTGTGGGTGATATGACGTACTCATCCGCAGTTTGGTGCCTAACTTGGCAAAAAATTCAGTCCAAAAGTTACTCAAGAAAATTGGGTCCCGATCACTTACTATGGAATGTGGTACCCCATGTAAGCGAACAATTTCCTAAGCAAACACGTCTGCCAAAGATCTGGCAGTAAACGGGTGGCGTAGTCCCACAAAATGTGCATATTTTGTGAAGCGGTCAATGACCACCCAAATGCAATCGAATCCATTGGAGCGAGGGAGGCCCGTGATGAAGTCCATAGCAATGTATAGCAGATGGAATGGGCAGTGGATGAAGAAGCCCAGCTGGTGACAAGGTCTCATACTTATTTTTTTGACATATGAGACACTCAGATACAAACTGCTGCACCCGTTTCATCATTCCTTTCCAGTACACGTTCGCGGCCAAACGACGGTAGGTTCGATAGGCTCCAGAGTGACCTCCCATAGGTGTTGAGTGAAATTCTTCTAGAAGCTTCGAAATCCAAGGTGAATTGGCTGGGAGAACTATTCGACCCTTGCAAATAAGCATCTCTAGAGATAGCTGATTCTAACTCACTCCAATCCGCCCAAACTGGTAGAGAAATCGCAGATAAGTGCATTGTCTCATGCTGACGTGACAATGCATCTGCTGCATTGTTGGTTTTCCCTGGTTTGTATGTAATTTCAAAATCATATCCCAGGAGCTTAGAAATCCAATCTTGTTGAGAGGGTGTGGTGACTCTCTGATGGAGTAGATGTCGTAGGCTTCTGTGGTCGGTTCTGACCACAAACTTTCTGCCTATAAGATATGGCCTCCAGTGCTGAATGGCTAAAACCAGCGCCATCAATTCTTTCTCATAAGCAGATTTGGCCAACGTGCGACCGGACAATGCCTTGCTAAAATATGCAATAGGACGTAGTCCTTGCATCAAAACAGCCCCCACCCCTGTACCGGAGGCATCACATTCAATCAGAAATGGTAGAGAGAAATCTGGGGTTGCAAGAACAGGAGCAGAGGTTACTGCCGCTTTCAGTGCCTCAAAAGCTGATTGGGCAGGTTGCGACCATTGAAATCGGGCTAAAGAATCTTTCTTCAACAAGGCAGTAAGAGGCTGCGCAATCTTACCATAATCCCGAATGAACCGACGGTAGTAGCCAGTGAGCCCTAAGAATCCCCTGACAGCCTTGAAAGATTGCGGTTGGGGCCAACGAAGCACACTGCTGATTTTTGAAGGGTCCATAGCTACCCCGAATTGGGATACAATATGCCCAAGATATTCTACTGATGTCTTTCCAAAACTGCACTTTTTTTCATTTGCCTTGAACTGATTGTGCTTCAGAATGCCCATCACCACAGTAAGATGTTGCAAATGGTCTTCCCACGTCACACTATATATTAATATGTCATCAAAAAAAACGAGGACAAAGCGTCGAAGGTATGGACGAAAAATGTCATTCATAATTTGCTGAAAAGTGGCTGGCGCATTCATCAATCCGAAAGGCATGACTAGGAACTCGTAGTGGCCTGAGTGAGTACGGAACGCTGTTTTTGGCACATCTTGAGGAGCCACTCGAATTTGATGATAGCCCGAACGAAGGTCAATTTTAGAGAAATATCGGGCGCCGTGGAGCTCATCCAACATCTCTTGTATGACTGGAATGGGATATTTATTCGGCACCGTAGCTTTGTTTAATTCACGGTAGTCAACGCAAAACCTCCAACTGCCATCTTTTTTCTTGACCAAGAGAACTGGGCTGGAAAACGGGCTAGAGCTGGGTTGTATAATACCTGCAAGCAACATGTCTTCCACCAACCGTTCAATTTCATTTTTTTGACTATGCCCATACCGGTATGGCTTAACACTGACTGGAGTTGTTCCATCCTTCAGAATGATCTGATGGTCATGTAGTCGTGAAGGGGGAAGACCATGTGGCTCTCCAAACACTTGGCAGTGAGTATGTAAGAATGTTGTTAACTGAGTTTGTTGAGCCAAGGAGATATCACTACCTTCATAAGTTGAGAGAGACACGTCATCCAAACTCCAAAAGAGGTAGCAAGTATCGATGTAAGTCATGCGTTCCAGAGAATTGAACGTCATGGGTAGGCGAGACAGAGATGGGTCACCTACCAATTGCACTAACTGGTCGTCCACCTTAAATTTTAAAATCTGCTTGGCAAAATTAGCAGTGACATCCCCCAGAGTCTCCAACCAAGCCATCCCGAGGATGATGTCAACGCCGCCCAATGGAAACAAATAGCAATCTAAAGACATTGTAACTGGTCCCAAATTGACCGGCAACTGTGAGTATTTACCCGACGATTGTTCTTGTCTGCCATCTCCTAATCGTACTCCAAAGCGATGTGTGGCGTTCAAGGGATGGTTGATGTGGTCCTTTAATTTCTCCGAGATGAAGTTGTGGCTAGCTCCACTGTCAACCATGATAACCACCTCCTGGTTTGCGACCCAACCCAAAAACTTTAGGGTTTTGGGTCCATCGATACCTCCAAGTGCTGTCAAGGGCAGATCACAGATAAAAATTTGGGACGAGTCTGCAGGCGGGTGATCAACCTCTAGGCAGTCGGTTGGGTTCATCTCTTTGGAAAGTTCATCTTCATCGTCCTCTGCAATGAGGATCTGGAGCGATTTATTTGGGCAGACGTGCATAGGACTATATTGTTGTTTACAACGAAAACATTGTCCCTTGGCCCGCATGTCCAAATATTCACGGTTGCTGAAACGGCGAACTGGTTTTGACGCAGAAGGCTGCCCCTGGTGTCGGAGAGTAGAAGAAAAATGTTGTGGTGGGCCGTGTGATGAAGTGGTGTGCACCACTGGATGCTTTTCAGGCTGAGAAGTGGTGGATCTATCAGGCCGGGGCTTTGGGTAAAACAAGGAAGACTGTTTAGTTGGGCCGTACGGTGTTCTCCCATCAATCCCACTTTGCCCAACATCGGAGGACCAGTTTATTTTAATTTCCTTAGCGTTGTTGAAGCCGCCCATGAGGCGACCTGTTGCTGAAAATAGCAACTCCCGTTCCACAGATTTTGCGACATTCATGGCTGTCCGGAGATCAACCACGTCACTTGGTCGGAACTTTACACGAATTTCCGGTTTAAGAGCATTTAGGTATAATCCTAATTGAACATGTGATGCGAGGCCAGGGATTTGTGCCAACCGAGCCCGGAACTCGTTGGTGAAATCAGCAACTGTATCTTCCTGGCGAAGTGCTGCCAACTGTTCAAACAGGGGGCCGGACAGTTCACTGTCAAATTCTTCGAGCAGTTCGCTCTTGAATTGCACCCACGAGAGCAGGGGGTTGTGTTGCTGAAGCCATTGAATCCAATGCAAAGCAGGGCCCTCCATGCTAATGAAAGCCGTCGCCACCTTCAAATCCTCTCGAGTACAGTGAATGGCAAAGAATTGTTCTGCCCGTGCTAGCCATCCCATGGGATCTGTACCAGAGAAAATTGGTAATTTGATATGGTGAATAGGGATTTGACAATCATCTAGAGACGTGGCTCGAGGATGGGGAGTAGTGTCTGTGGACTTCTCCTTCGATGAATCCAGGGTGGAAGCATCCTGAATGTTAGTGCTGGAGTCAAACTGTCCTTTGGCCAGTGATGATTGATTCAGTAACCCAGTCAAGTAGGAAAGGGATTCGTGGATACTGAGGAATTGTTGATTGACTTCTGTACGGAATGCATCCTGACTCTTCTCTAACGCTTCGACTCGTTCATCCATGCGAGTTGCTGGCATCGTCAAGTGGCAGGTCGGACCAACTTGATAGAGTAAAGAAGCAGGATGGTCTTAAATCAGAATAGCAAATCTTTATTCTTTATTCCGGAAATGAAAAAAAAGAGATAACAACGACAAGGTATACCTAGAAGGCAACCTCCAACAGAGATAAACCTCTGCCCAACTATTCTAAATTATTGTAATGACTCCCGATATCGTCCTCTCCTAGTCTAGGACCTTATTTATAATAGATTATTCTGCATAAATAAAGTAAGTGTATCAATATAGATGTCCCATCCCTTAAATTGTGCTACTGTAGCCATTAATGAGTAATCCCACTAATTGTGCTCTTCTTTATATTATGTCTCCTTATTGATTTGCTCCTGATTTGTTTCTATAAACCTTTGATTGCCTTTCCTTTTCCTAGAATATACTATCCAGCCACTTGCACGTGTATCAGTTGTCATGCTCAAGAACATTAGTTTGTGTAAAACAGGACACCGGATATATGTGCGATGCATCAAGACAGTTCCAGAGATCTTGAAGGCGTTGGATCCATCCTCTATGACTTGGCTGGGGTATATGTTACATATATTAGTTCAAGCCGATTTGCATTATTCTTGCATATTCTATTTTCACTCGAATCAAAGTTCTTCACATGCTTAGGCTCCATTTGCCACCATGAAAATATATTTTATTTTCCAGGGAATGTTTTCCTTTCATTTTCCTTGACTTTATAGACTTATGTGGATTATAACTTCTTGTTTTGAAAATTGCAAGAAATTTCCTTCAAACATTCTTATTTTGTACATTTGTAGGAAAAATATTAGCAGCTTATTATCCAGGAGAACATTTTTGAGAAATTCTTGGAAAACATTTTCCCCTACAAGTTATTTTATTGAAACAAACAAAGTTATGGCATAGTGTGGGTGTTGCTTTTATTAGCAATTTGATAAATTGGTCCTAAAGTTATCTATTATATTTTCTAATAAGCTTTCAATATAAACTTTGTTTGGTTCGGGGCTTAGGGCAACTTATTTAAAAGCTTCATGGACCTGGTGCAATTTTTCAGAAAAAGTTAAGATTTTTTTGTTTATGATTCTATTTTTACCCCCATACAAAATCATATTAAAGTTTAAACACACATTTCTGTCCTATATATTTTAAGTTGCCTCATCGCTAATTGTTACCAAACACTATGAAATTAGCTTACTTTACCAACTACTCCATTCGTTGCAGACCAGATTCCTCTCTTTGGTCCGACTCCAAAGTTATTTTCCCATTTCCTTGTAAGGAAGAATTGTGTTGTTACTTTTTTTTTCCTTCCTAATTTCTTAAAAAGCATGCCAAAGCAATGGTAAGCTATTTTGAGTATGAATTATAATTTATGTGTTATAAAATGGAAATTAACTCATCAGAGCTTACTAAAATAGGTGACTTGCTGGTTCTAAGCTAGCATGATTTGCAAAACGTAACATAGCATAAATTAGAAAAGGGACTTGTGACTTATGCTAATGAATGATATATATATATATATATATATGAAAACAGGTGAATTCTGATGCAAGTGCAAGGAGGACAGTAGTTGGGGTATGCGATGCCATTGCAAAGCGTGGGGGGCGCCTGGCGGGTGCAGGAATTGTGGGGATTCTAGAGAAGATGGAAGAGGATTGTAAGGGTCGCGTGTTCGGGAAGAGAACTGTGGTAGCCATGGACGGAGGGTTGTATGAGAACTATCCGCAATATAGAGGGTATCTACAAGAAGCCGTGACTGAGCTCCTGGGAGATGGGATCTCAAAGAATGTGGTGATTGAACATTCCAAAGATGGGTCTGGTATTGGTGCTGCTCTCTTGGCTGCTGCCAACTCCAAGTATGGCCAGTCACCTCTTTTTTAGATATAGTTGGTATGTATAGAAAGACTTACCCTGCTTAATAGGCTGATGTTAATTCTTTGAACAAAAAAACTATATATGGACTTCATTGTATTGAAATGTATTACTTCAATGAGATAAAGGAAACTCTTCTTTCCTTGGACCGACTTTTAGAAACCTTTTGAGTATTACTAATTGATTTTTCTGAAAATTAAAATTACATGGGAATTGAAAAGAAAACAAAATTAAAAGTTCTCAAGATCATTTGCATTTGCATGTATCTTCCCAAAGAATTGTAGACAAATGAAATATAATCTGCTCTTTAATACGAGTAGTAAATTGCTATTTAGCTTTTAGAGCTGCATTTACCAAACTATCGGCACATCCATTATTTCCCTTCCTAGATGTGTGTTTAATCCTAATGAAGCGTTCAGGGGCAGATCCAGGAATCCGGAATGTCCCGAGCTGAATAGCAATTATCCTAGGTTTAAGTATAGGCAGGGTGAGCTAAATATGAAAAATAAAAAAATTTACTCTAAAAATTTGAAATATTTTTAAATTGCCGTGAGCTTCAGTCTATCATAGCATGTACATATATCCTCCCCGGAAGGGTTCATCCTGAAGTAAAATCCAGCATTCTTGACTGAGCACCCCCTGGAAAGACCCACCGGCTACCACTCTCTTAGCTAGTAATAACTACTTAATAATATGATTTCTGAATCCACCTCTATTATTATTTTTGAAAGATTTTAATTCTCACATCACTAATAATCCTTGGCGAATCCCCATAGTTCTGCACGGTAGCTATCTGTTTTTCCAATGCATTGTATACTTAAAATGTTCAATTAGCCCCTTATATAGGAGGTTTTGCCCGACCGTCGCTAATTGGGGCGGTTCCCGATGGAATTTTTTGATGAAATTTTTTGAGCATCTTCTTCATTAAGTCTAGTTTACTCATACCAAATTTCAGCTACAAATTCAACCGAGAAGGCAAACAAATGAATTTTTGAAGATAACTGCGAAGTTAAACAGCGCAGTACATTTCGGAAAATCATTTGACTGCCTTCCCGGTTGAATGTTTAGCTGAAATTTGGTATGGGTAAACTAGACTTAATGAAGAAGATGCTCAAAATATTTCATAAAAAAATTCCATCGGGAACCGCCCCAATTAGCGACGGTCGGGCAAAACCTCCTATATAGGGGGCTAATCGAACACTTTAAGTCAGTTCAAGGGCGTATTTGACCCTTTAGCCGGGATTAATAATACCAATTTTTCCAAAGGAAAAGTAGATAAGTTTTTTGGGACGTGCCAAAAAGGAAAGATGGCAAAATTTAAATGGATAGAGGAAGTATTTATTAGGATGGTTTTACTTGGACCGAAGTTTCTGCTCTTATTTGGTCTAATCTGATTTGAACTAGTCTAGTCTGATAAATGTCTGGTCTCTTTTGTATTTTATTAATATCCAAATTTGGTTTGGTTTTGACTGGTTTGATCTGATCTGATATAGGATTGAATACAGTCCAAGTAAAAACATCTTTCATTAACATCATAAAAAGCTGAAAATTCACATTAATTGAAATCTAATACAGAGTATGTTGAATATGTTGTTTTGTTGATGACTAACCGTGCAGGAATAAAGGATAGACCTGGTCTACGAATCGCTTGTGCATTAAATTACTAACTAACCATGCAGGTGGATGTTGGTATACGTTCTGACTAGAACAAAGAAATTGAACTATACTTGGTCTAATGGATCATAATAGATGCGTGCATGGTTATGTCTTTGGTGTGATATCCTTCCTTACGTGATTGCATGATTAAGTTTTGGAAAGTATCTTTAATGGAGCATTTGAAATGTTTCTAAGAAAAGGCCCACTTGCTAATTGCATTAAAAAGGAATATTCTTAAATAACATATGAGTACACGTAGCATCATGCATAGCTTGACTTTAAATAAATTAAGTATGGAAGGAATCTTTGCTTATAAATACTGCTTGTCCGTTGCATGCTTAATAAGGAAAATTTCCTTAACCTTTTGAAATTGACCGAAGCTTGTTTTGTAAAGAATAAAAGCCACCTAGAGTTACTTCATCTTTATTTAATTACACGATTTTGATGTACAATTGATATGCTAATTGATCACAAGATCTTGGTGTCTTAAACCTAAGTAAATGAGCTCGGATATGGAAGCTTGTATGCAAGGAAAGCAAATTGAATATTTCAAGGCAAGTCCAATCATCCAATGAAGGAAAGAAGAGCCAACGGTTGTCAAAGAGAGAGCCTATATATTCGAACAGTATAACAAGAATAAGGTGTGCTTAACCGAGTGTGTATTAAGGAGAATTATTCAAGAGATGACCAAGGCACCTGAAACTGCTCACACAAAGTTCTAGATAGAATTTTTTCTATTTCCCTTCTCATATTGTATTTGAGGTATTGAGGCATAGCTTGTGAAGCTGCCTCGGGTTGGGAGAAGAGTGTGTGAGAGCTTTGTGATAAAGCTGAGTGGCACTCTACCCGAAAGGTAGAGATGCATAACTCTTCCTAGAGAGGATAGAGTTAGGGAGGCTCAATGGTAGATTAGGAGAATCTCTCTTGTAATCCTTTTAAGGCTTGATTAGTGAAGTTGTTTAAAATTCCTCCGAGGGAGGTCGAGGTTTTTTAATCCCTTTGAGCCAAGGGATTTTTCCTCGTTAAATTCTCGTGCACTTTACTATTTCGCAATTCAGGGCAATCTTGACCGTAGACTCGAATAATACTTCTAGTGTTCTTTAATTCTTGCAACATTGTGATTTTAGCATTATTCATAGATTTTACTTTGAACATGATTTTCTACTAATATACATAATCAAATATTACGTAAAAAATTTTATTGAACATCCAAAATTTTCTACCAATATACATGGGTGCTAGTGTAAAAATTTATATATGTATTTGAACATCCAAAATTTATAAAATAAATTTGAACCTTCAAAATTTATGTACAAGATCCGCCACTGCCAAACAATTTTTTCAATTATTGAAAACGTTAAAAGTGATCAAATCGCCATTTTTCGGCTGAAACGCCGTTCACCAAACACCCCCATTGTCAAACAATTAGATTGTTGGAGACCACAAACGTAGAACATCAATAACAGTTGGAAAATCTGAACCCCATCGATTAGCTCCCCGCGGCCAGCCAAGAATAATATTTATATTATTGGATTATTATTCAATAATTAACAATAAAAGTTTTAACTTGAACATGTCAACATATTATGGTATAGTAATATTTTTACAACCCACAAAACAAACCTGCTTGAGAAGTGAAGTAGAAACACCAGTGGAAATATTCATGTTAGATCAAGGTTTGAATGTCATTTCTTGATGAACTTTTTTAATTTAAAAACTATACTACATTGGGGGGATCTAAATGCGACCTTATTTGGGGCAGGATTTTGGATTGAGACGGGTTTCATCTAATTTGCGGGTTTCACCCTATATAAAGTCAATGCATATGACTGACTATCTGTTTAGTTAATTAAAAAGAAGTATCTGTAATAATCCGAACTATACCTACTTACCTAGCTATGATCTTTCGAGTTTTATTAGATTCTAAAAATAAAATGAAAATATCCATAAATAAATAAATAAATAAAATGGTAAAAACTGATTATAGACATTTTTTAGTGTAATTAAATTTTGTAGATAGTTTATGGAATTAATAATATAAAATATGTAAACATAAAATATGTGGAAATGAATAAATAAATTTCAAAATTTAAAATTTTATAATATGTAAGATATTATAAATATATAGTGAATATGAAATATATAAATGTAGAGAGTAAAATGGGGCAAATATAAAAACATTCAAGGAATAGGAAAGTGCAAATTAAGTACAAATCCAAAGTTAAAAAAATGAAAACCTACAACTTTCAAATTCAGAGCGTGCAAAAAATAAAAGATATTTTTATTTTATAAATAGTTAAAAATTAAAAGCTAGTAGTCCTAATTAAAATATCGAATCATTTTAAAATTAGTTAAAAGTCAAAACCATGAATAATTTGCAAATGAACCCAAAAATAAATATCTATAAAAAATGGAAATAATATTTTTTCTAAAATAATTATTTGAAAATTTTAGATTTACAAATTTTGAAATTTTGAAAATTTTAAAATCCTATTTTAGAAAGTTTTAAATTTAGTTAAATTTACATATTATAAAATCCTAATTTTGAAAAGTTTATAACATTTTCTATGGTTTGTAAAAGAATGAGTTGATGATTGAGATTATTAAAACAAGAGTGAGCATAGTTTGGATTATTTATAGAAATTAGAGCTCTCTTTTTCAGATTTAAATGCTTTCCTTTTTCAGATTTAGAGGGTTTCTTTTTGAATATTTAGTATAATACACGCTTAAGTGGCGATCTGATTCAGTTCTTATAACAAACAATAAATTGCTACTCTACAGGGGAAGATTTTAACAGGTGTATAAGAAATCTGATAGCATGTAACCATCATTTTAAAAATGCACGGATCATTTTAAGAAATCTGATAGCATGTAACAATTGTGGACTTTGAAGGGTCTATATGGAATGATATGTTTTGAGGTTGTGGTTAATAATACTAATTACATTCATGCCAACTTTGCATCCTTTCAAACTTTTTTAAAGTGAACACACAGATCAATTAGTATGATCTTTCAATTTTTAAGACACAATTTCCAAGGGATTTGTATCTTAAGATGCTTATTAAAATTGTGCTATCACGGTAATGAAGGATATGATTGCACTAATATCAATTAAACATGTAAAAAGTATATGAACCACTAACGACTTAAAGTTTCTATGATTTTGTTATGACCTAATCCAGATTTGATCATATTAAAGGGGAGATAATATGTGGCATGCCTCTCGATCAATATTTATATCTATATGAGAACTTGATAAGATAATAGCTATGTTTTAATTGAGGTTTTATAAACATATGATAAAATCATGAAATACTCATGCTTCTTATTTTTAGATCTGAAAAGTTGGAATAATACTGTGATTGCTTCTTTCTTTAAATTCTGTTCATTTTAGTTGGGTTTAGACTCTGATTGATTTGAGTTATAGTTGCATAACCTTATTTCATATATTAAGCCACTTTATTTGGTTCCTGCCACTTTAGAGTGCCACTTATTTGGTTCCT